AAAATATGAACCAGGTCAATTTAACGATGTAATTTGTGAAGATATTCCTTCAGAACAGTATACATTTAACAATAATGGGTAAAAAAAATGATATGGACAGTAAGTAGTTAAGCGAAAACTTTACATGATTTAGAAAATGATTTCTCATTTGAAGAGGAAGGTTATTTTGATAAATTAAATGATAACGAAGAATGGGAAAATTCTAGTAATTTTTTTATCATAAAAATTTACAAACTCTCACTTTAGATTTTACTAAACAGTATAATCGCTTAAGACAACAATTACAGCCCAATATCATAAGATCTGGATCTACTACTACACAGAATATTACTATTGCAGCACCTGTAAAAAATCAAAATATAGGTGGAACAATGCAAACAAAAAACTAATGCAAAAAAAAGTTACTGATATAAATTGAATGATTATATGAAATCTTTTAGCAAATATGCTAATAGAAATAGTCTTGGTAGGTTTGGTTTCAAGTTTGCTTTAATTTTTATTACCTGATCTTCCTAATTTTTTTGATTAAAGAGGAAATTAATCCAGGAAATTTAGCGATTTCAGTTGCTAATGATATTAAGAGGAAAAATAAAAAAGCTCGGAGTCATAAGTAAGTAAGGAGAGCGCCGTTTATTGTGTAATTTAAATGAGGAGAGGAGAAATATTTAATGATTTATCACGTTATATAATAAAATTATCTAGTTAGAAGCTCTAAATTGTAATATCACTAGGGGAGGAAGGTGTATGGCTTTATAAAATAAATGAAAATTATGTAATAAACGGTACTCCCTAATCTCTTCTATAAATTTTTATAAAAAGTTTCCTTTTTTATTCATGTAGTTAGATCAAATTTTTTTTAATTTTTAACAGACAAAAATATAATGATAAGTCGCAACAACGGAACAAGTTTTAGATTCACGTATAAGAATAAAATGATCAACCGTAATTTAATCTACGATATAAATGGATAGGAAAGAGGTGATTATTTAGTTATTGTGGCAGATTAAAATAGAATTTTATAATTATGAAATTATAAATGTTGGGAGTGGCTTTTTTAGGGTTAGGATTGTCAATAGAAGAGTATTGTGGATTTTAGAAACTTAAAAGGGGATCGAAGAAGGCCCCAAATTTCATTTTAATCCAATTCCAAATTTCATTATTATCTGCGACAGTTATATAATGTAAATCACTACAGAAAATGGAGATCATAGAGCCATAAAAGTTTATAAGACCTCAATTCTAATTTTCAAAGATAGAGATCGTTATGTCACTGGTGAATTCAGATTTAGACATGGATATAGTAAACATAATCCTCGTAAGATGGTCAAATTATGGGCGGAAAAAGAAATGAGAAATTTGAAAAGATTGTGGCAATCAGGAATACCTTGTCCTGAACCTCTTGTTTTGAGATTACATGTTTTGCTTATGGGCTTTTTAGGAGATAAAAATGGATGGTAAGAAAAAAAAAAACATATATATATGTTTGTTTCCATAACGTCTTCATTATGCTAATATTCTGATTAATTACTTTTTTTTTAAAAAAAAAAAAAAAAAAAAAATAGGGCGTATCCTAA